TGGTATTGAATGCCCCATTGTGGTTGGTGATGGGAATAGTGGTTCTGTGGATCTTAGAGCCAACATAACACATGTATTGTGTTGTGCAATGGATTAAATGTGGAAATCTTACCCTCTTGGATGCAGCCTGGTGGTTTTCTGGATTTCTCTTTGCTCTGCCAAATGCATAATAGGCAAGAATGACAAGTAATGGCTTTTTCCTGTTACCCAAACCCCTTAGGCTGCACTGATGTGTTTTTGACTGTGACATTTGCTCTGAAAGTACTCATGATCACTGATTGCAACAGTGTTTAGATGTCACCCTTGGGTTTGCAGAAACAGCAAAAATAAAATAGAATATGAACATTGAATATCCCAGCCTGCCTTTTCATCCTTGTGTTCATCACATATTTGTTAAACCCTTTCTTTGGGGTGAAGTGAACCATAGTGATTAGACTCATGGCTCTGGATTCAGAACTACTGAATAAAAACTGCTGTTTATTTATTTTTTTAAGATTTTATTTATTTATTCATGAGAGACACACACACACACACACACACACACACACACACAGAGGCAGAGACACAGGCAGAGGGAGAAGCAGGCTCCATGCAAGGAGCCCAATGTGGGACTCGATCCCGGGTCCCCAGGATCACACCCTGGGCTACAGGCGGCGCTAAACCGCTGCACCACCAGGGCTGCCCCAAAACTACTGTTTAAATTCAAGCTCTGTTGCCTATAGCTGTGTAATCTGGGGTAAGCCATTTAACTTTTCTGCACTTCAGTTTCATCATCTGTAAAATTGAGACAATATTATACCTACACATCTTTTTCTGGGGTTGTTTTGAGGATGGAGACACTCCATGAAAAGCTCTGTACATTTTACTGATTAGTATTATGTGTTAGGTTCTAGAGATAAATGTGAGCCCTGCCCTTGTGGAATTTATAGTCTGGTTTGCGAGACAGATGTTAATAATCTTACAAGTATATAACTACCTGTGTGGAGCCTGACTTTGAATGAGACATGAGAGAAAGCCTCCCTGAGCAAGTGGATTGTGCTCAGGCCTGAAGGAGATCTGCATTTACTCAGGGAAATGGAGTAAGGAAGGCATCCTAGTCTGGTCAGAGGAAGCTGGTGCAAAATCCCCTGTGGTCCTTGGGCATGAAGGTGCTTTGAACATTTAAAAAAACATACTATTTATTTATTTATTTATTTATTTGAGAGAGAGAGAGGGCAAGCACATGTACACAAGCAGGGGAGGGGGCCGGTCAGAGGGATTGGAAGAAGCAGACTCCTTGCTGAGCAGGAAGCCCAAGGAGGTGAGGCAGAGTTCTATCCTAGGACCCTGGGATCATGACCTGAGCTGAGGTGAAGGCAGACACTTAAGTGACTGAGCCACCCAGGTGCCCCACTTTGGACATTTCAAAGACAGAAAGGAGGCCCGTGTGGCAGGGTCTCAGGAAGTAAATAGTTGACCAGGGGCAGATGACCCCCTCCCCCTTTGCACAACTTTGTGGGTGTGTTTACCTAGTTTGAAAGCAAGTAGAGGAAGGACATAATCCAATCACAGTTTGCAAATATCACTGGCTGCAGAGTGGAACTGCCTAAACTGTCACCCAAGCTCCCCTGATGGCTGATAAGGATTGCCTACATATGAAAATACAGCTACTCAGGACGAATATCAGACCTGAAGGATCACAGTGGGGTCAGGGCTGGTGACCTTTCCAGGCAATGTTGGAAATACTGCCATGGGTTCTGTAGAAATGAAGAAAATCTAATTCCACGTTAAAAGCAATTTTTTTAAGAGTAAGTTCCTGAAGAGCTAAGACTGGACTGGTTTGACTGTGTATTGTGTATTTTGCCCATGGATTTTTTTTTTTGAGGATGATAAAACTAGGACAAATGCTAGGACATAAGCCAAGCCAAACCAGTTGGCAATAGATTTTAATCATTTTCAATCATGGCCTGGGTCCTGTTTTTGTGAAGGTAAGAAGGGTGCCGGCACCACCCTCCCAGGGCAGTATCCTCCCATCTCTTTGAGTTAATCTTGTACTGAGTTGGGCTGCAGGTCTCTGATTTTTACCCTTGAAGTGTCCTAGAAAATTCATGACAGAACTTGAATGGGTAAGAATAGAGTCTTCCGTGTTGACTACCAACATTTCATGGGAGATGAGCAGTCGGTGAGCTTAGGTTCTGGAGTCAGAACTGGTTTAGGACGGCCAGCTCTTCTGCTAGCTGCCTGTGTGACCTTAGGCAAGGTGTGGACAGACCATCAGTGTTCTCATTTTTATCTTTGTTGTAAAGATTCTTGGGTTAAATGAAAAAAGATAAATTCTGTTAGATACCTGGTACATAGTCGATGCTCAAGAAATAGCCAGCCTTCTCCCTATTCTCCCCCGTAAACATTTTTTTTTTGCCCTTACTGCTCTGTATCCACTGTGTTTTGTAGAAAAAACGTGGATCTGTGTGATATTGCCAGCTTTGTGTAGTTGAGATTTTTCCAGCAATGTGCATCATTTGTCCAACCAGCTAACATGACTGAGCATTTACCAGGGGACAAGACTTAAGAAGTAGGAGCTGAGTAGAACTGTAAATGCTCACTGAACATAGCTCTCAAGAAGCAGGAACAAATATGTCTTGAAAAAACAAAAAAGAGGCAGCAGTTGACAGTCCAATTCCTATGTTTTTGTTTTCTGTGCTGACCATGAGAGTACCTCGGAGGCCAATTTCCTCCTGAAGAGAGGGTACTGTGAAGCAGTGTTGCTCTCTGGTCGGGTCCCCACAGGCCCCTACATCTGAGTGCTGCATCCTTCTAACTGGAGAAGGCTTCAGTGCTGAAGTTGGGGTGGAATAGCACGCACACAGCCCTAGGGTATAGACAGAGAATGGAGTCCATGTAGTGGATCCAATGGGATCAGGCATGTAGTGTAAAACTAGCTGGGAGGACATATTTTTCAAGGCAGAAGATTAATGGAGATTAGGTTATCCTGTGTCAAGGTCCTTTTGGGAGTAAAAAAAATCACAGAACCTTGGATGATATCCTTAATATTCCCACATTCTTGGAAAAGGGATCCTTTGAGGTTCTGTTTAACATCTAGATCTCCAATGCTAAAATATGTAGGGAGGCCAGATATGACCTGCAGTGGGTTCTGTTTCCCAGCTATGCCAGTTGTGTTTGTCCCTTTGTCTATGGCTGGATTTAACCCCTTAAAGTCTTGGAGATCAGTACTTAAGAAGCTAGACTCAATTCTGGCAAATCATTGTGAGCCAGGATCAGATAAGGCTCCAAGGATATGAAATGTATTCTCTTCTGGAGAGGCCTGTTCACTTGGCCCTTTCTTGGGGCTCTTAGCCCTGGAGAGCCTTGCCAGGCCCAGTGGAGGAGGTCCTGGCCTGAGAAGCTAGGAGATCTGTTTTCTCATTTCAACTCTGTTAGAACTCCTGTGACTCTGACTTACCTTCTAGAACTTAATTTCATTTACCCTCCATTTGACTCTCTAATAATCAGGTTGTACTAGATGATGACAAAGGAACTTTCAAAACGATAACTTTCTATAATTCAACCCACAAATACCACCATTTGTGTTATCTTTGGTATCTTTGTTTTAAACTCCCTGCCCCCGCTAGATTATAAAGCTTCTTGAAGGTGAGAATCACGCCATATACATCTTGGTACCTTGGTACCTTGCCAGGTTACTTTTCACACAGTAGATGCTTTAAAGATCTGTTCCATTTATTTTTCATATATTGGCATATTTGGAGGAACCCTACACTGAGCTTATTGATGATGACTTTTGTGACTGTTCCAGAGCTGAGAACCAACATCCCAAGTGGTTGTAATTGACAGTCTGGGAAAGCAATCAAGGTGGTCAGCAGATGGGCAGCCAGTGAATTGTGTTATAGTGTGGCATGAAAGCAACTTGCTCTCTACCTGCAGTTCCTTTCAAGTACAATAAAGGAAAAGTGGGACCTTAAGGCAAAGACTTACTCATCTTCCTTTACTTTTGCAATTTGAGGCTTACCTGAATTCTCAGGCTGTTTTCCAACTTCTTCCTTTTTTTTTAAATTTTTTAAAAATTTATTTATTTATGATAGTCACACACACACACACACAGAGAGGCAGAGACACAGGCAGAGGGAGAAGCAGGCTCCATGCACCGGGAGCCCGACGTGGGATTCGATCCCGGGTCTCCAGGATCGCGCCCTGGGCCAAAGGCAGGCGCCAAACCGCTGCGCCACCCAGGGATCCCCCCAACTTCTTCCTTAATATATATGTGTGGCAGAAGGGCTTTTGGGAGTTGTGTCACAGCTAGTCACTACTGAATCAAGGCATTTCTGACCTTGGAAACACCCAAGTCATGTTATCTGTTGGGTCACTGGAGTTTGAACTCTAAGGCAGATACAAGATGTTTTAGTTTGTTGGTATCTGCCTGTGCCTGTGTTTATAGCCAGTTTTCCTGTCCCCGTGACTTCACACTACAGATACTTTGTAAATTAAAAGTTATCTATGCAATGAACTTAAGTTTTCACATTTGTGAATGGGGTAACAACTTTAGGCTTTCATCTACTGAATGCAAATTCTTGGGATTGTAGGGTATAGACTTTTTCCCTTAGCTGGTCTCTCAGCTCCAGGTCAACATATCCAGCAAAATGAAAAATTCAGTGGAAAAAGAAAACCAACATTGTTTTATTCTAATCTAGAGATGGAAGTATGAAAACCATTGTTCATTAGTCTGCAGCTAGAGAAGAGCCAGCCTGCATTGAGAACCCCAACTATAATGTTTTTCAGTAGATATTGATAGTTAGGGTGGTCAGGGGTATGTTGTTAATCAAGAAAGAGTTGAGTTGTCAAGGAAAAGTAAGATCTCTCCGGTGTTTTGAGAAGGGGAACAATCCCTGTTTGGATTTTAAGAAGGACTGGAAGATAGGGTTTATGTTTCTTATCAGGAGTCTCTTTAAATTTGTGCTGTCATTTCTTGGCTGTTGGAAACTGTGATTGATTGTCTCTGTCTTCTGTAGCTTGGAATTGCAATTGGGTTCTTGGTCCCTCCTGTTTTGGTACCCAACATCGAAGACCGGGACAAGCTTGCCTACCACATCAGCATCATGTTTTACATAATAGGAGGCGTGGCCACTCTGCTTTTCATCCTTGTCATCATCGGTAAGGTCATTAGTAGACTGATGGGGGGCCAGGAGGCAGGGAGGTTCTGCTGACTTGGGTGGGGACCTTGCGAACATGGCCTTAGAATACCATGGACATTTATAGAAACTGGAGGCCAGGCTTCTAATGGTCTTCACGTGTCTTAGCCAATACAGTGGTAGCTGGTCTTGTGTAATTTGTTAGCTGCTAAGTAAAGATTTAATTGCAATTAACCAGTTCCCCAATAAAACCTTATTAGAATTAGTGGACAAGCTGTTGATCCCCTTAATGAAACCCCAGTGAGTGCTTATGATATATATCAGGGGCACTGTGCTAAGCATTCCTGATCTCCTTGAATCTTGAATGAAATTATCGCCATCAATTTCATTTAACAAAGAAGAAAACGAGACTTAAGAGGAGTTAAGTGAATCATTCGAGATCAGATAACTAGTAAGTGGCAGAGCTTGCCTAACCCTTCTAGCTCCATACTTTAAATTTCTGGAACAAAACAAAATAAAACTGAATTGACCCACAAACATTAATACTCTCATAGATTCATCTGAGAACACTTGGGGACCACATTTTTTGAGGCTTTTTATAAAAAAAATCATAAGAGAAATATATGCTTATTATGGAAAAAATCTAGAAAATACAAAAAAAGCATAAAGAAAAGATTAACCAGGGTGCCTGGCTGGCTCAGTTGGTCGAGCATGCAACTCTTGATCTCAGGGGTCATGAGTTTGAGCCTCATGTAGGGGGTAGAGGTTACTTAAATAAATTAATTAAATAAATTTAAAATAAAAAAACACATTAATTTAGATGGTACCAGTTAATCCCAACCACCAATCTTAGATAACTACTATTAATTTGATGTGCATGTACATTTAATCATTGAGATATTGGTTAATATATTTTATATCCTCTTTTATATTATCTGAGTGATAGTACATGTGCTGTGATAAATTCAGAAACAGGATAGTAGGGGCTTTCATTTTCAGTTAGTCATTTGTCTTTAAAGGTTAACCAGCTTTCCTCCTAACGTTCTACCTTATGTGGTAAAGGTTTCATTCTTCCCTGCCATCCTCACCTCCAGAGACAAAACAGTTTTATGATCGTGTACCTCATTCAGCTTTCTCACTGAAGCATTCTCTCTCTCATCTGGGGTCCAAGATGAGACAGGCTGATGGCTTTTCAAAGCTGGCAGGATATCTTGGGCAGAGAACTTACTGTTTCTGGGAAAGTGAGAAGCTACAGAGCAATGGATGGTGGCAGGAAAGAACAATCTGCCCAGAGACACTTTTATTCAACCAAACTTTAAGTTTCAAATTGTCATGTGCCTAGCTTCAAATGTTTGTGTTTGTAGCAGATGAGGGCCTGTTTCTTTGCATTTGAAACTCCAAAGATAGGACATTTCTATATTTTGACATTTTATTATCAAGCCAGAGAGTGGCTTATTGAGTAAAAAACGGAAAAATCTGATCTGAATTCTGATTTGTGGTGGCCAGGTCCTTGAACAAATCCAAGATAAATCACCTCTTGCCTTGCTTTCTTTCCCCTGCTGCAAGGGGAGGTGAATGGGCAAGACAATGTATGAATGGTTTCTAGCGGCAGGAAGTGATCCAGGACTATTTCTGGAAAAGGAAGAAGCAGGGCTCTGAGGTTAGGGCTGGAAGGTTTTCTGGGTGGGGGGCCCCTTTGATCTCCAAGAGAGTAAACCTCATTTCCAGAGCTTCCTCTAACTAGAGACAGCCTATTGACCTTTCAGGAGCATTCTTGTGGTCTGTGGAGAAGGCTACATGGAGCTTGCCTGGACCCAGCTGGGAGGCCAATTTAGCCAAACAACTGGTTACACTTCTCTGCCCCCAGAAACTGAACAGAGAGCAATGCCATCAAATTGATTGTACCAACTGTGCTGAAAATCAAACATAAAATGAATGGTTTTCCCACAGCCCCTCCCCAGTCCTTCATATCACAGTGCCTACTCCTGTAGGGGTATGTGTTAAACCTCTTGTCTCTTCCTGAGGCAGACATGAGAGTCAGACTTTGACAAACTAGCAGTGGACTTGAGGTTTTTCAATAGAAGATCTTGTCACTTATCCAGGGAATATTTCCTGGCTGCCATGTGCCAGGTTCTCAGCTGAGCATGGACAGCACAGTCCCTTCTAGGGGGAGCTCTGGTGCTAACCCATTCGCTGGGCTCACTCGTCCCAAAGCCTCAGCTCTCACTTCCTTTCTATGTATTATTATTATGTTATTTTCACTATGCAGTACTGAATTCAGCATATTCAGTACCACTGTGCAGTATGTTTTTTGCTGATTTATTATGGGACTCCTTGATCCTTGAACACTGCCTGGGAGGCCCAGGGAGTGCAGCCATCTACAGGCCATGAAGAAAAAGTAATTAAAGGACCACTCACTCAGCCACAGATGGTGAGAAGCAGCTTCAAGAAAGGAAGTGTTGAAGGATTTAATTGAAGAATTAATATTTCCTTTTTGGATCTTAATTTTTTCTCAGATGAGGGAGCCAGCTCTTGTCCATGTGTCAGCTCTGCAGGGGTGGGGCCATGGGGATTTGCATTGATCTCTCTGTTTCTTTCCTTTCAGTATTCAAGGAGAAGCCTAAACATCCCCCCAGCAGAGCCCAGTCCTTGAGCTATGCCTTGGCATCCCCTGATGCTTCATACTTCAGTTCCATTGTCCGGCTCTTCAAAAACCTCAACTTTGTGCTGCTAGTCATCACCTATGGTAAGGTATACATGTGTCCAGGAGTGTATTTAAATTGGGAATGTGAGAAAGAGATCTGATGTGTCTGTGTGTCTTACTTTTTCCAAATCCCAAATGTGTATGTAAAGCCATTCTTGGGGTCAACCAGAAGAGTCAGCTGTGCCTTAGGACCTTTGCATGTTCTGTAAGGTTCACCTAGAAAGTCATTCCTTCCCATATCAGGTTGTTTGACAAATACCTGCTGATCCTTCAAGTCTCATCTGAGTGTCACTACTGTAAAAGTGACCTTTACCTCTTTTATTGTGCTGATCCTGGTACATCTTAACACCATTAAAAAAAAAAAAACCAACATTTCCAGGTCTGTCTTCCCCCTAGACTGTGAATGTCCCAAGAATGGGGATCTATGACTTTTCATCTTTATAGCTCCCTAGGAGTAGCCAGCCTGGACTGGACACTCTAGCAGTTTTTTAGTGAATGAATGAATGAATGAATGAATGAGTTCATATGAGTCTTGTAACCACTGTTCAACCAAAGTTCTATCATCTTGTAACACTAACTGCTTTTTTACCTGAATGCACGACCCTCTTTCATTTTACTTTTTTGGCTTTTGGTAAGATACATTTACATATTTATGCTAGTATATTGGCTTACTTTCCCAACGTGGTGTTTTCTGCAGCTTCTTTCCAGCCTTTAATAAGAATGTTGACCCAGATGAGGGCAAGGGCAGAGCCCTATGGCATTCCAGTAAAGAGCGTCTTAACAGACCCACCTAACTATATTGGTCTCCAGCCTACATTTGATCATTTAATCTACTAGTTAAGTTTATTTTTATTTTTATTTTTGAAGAATTTGTTTTACTTTTTTTAGAGAGGGAGAGAGAGAGGGTACACAAGCCATGGGGGAAGAGCAGAGAGAGACGGAGAGGGGAAAGTAGACTCCCTGCTGAGTGTGGAGTCTGACACAGGGCTCAATCCTATGATCTCCAGATCATGACCCAAGCTGAAACCAAGAGTCAGACACTCAACAAACTGAGCCATTCAGGTGGCAGGTAGTTTGTTTAAAATCAAGAGTCAACAGTTGTGTAACATGGTTAGTAACCATAAGAAGAAAAGAAATGAAGTTGGTTTGATATAACTTATGCTTGGTGAAATCCCAGTTGGCTAAACCTTGTTTTCTGTAGGTTCACAAACCTTTGTATTTTATAATAACAATAGCATTTATTACGTGCCAAGACTTTTCATGTATGATTGTACTTACTTAACTCTCATCATGCCCATGTGAGGTAGGTACTATAGTTATCTCTGTTAACAGATGAGAAAACTGAAAATCAAGACAGGTAAAGCAACTAGCTGAAGAACACACAGCTTTGAATTGGCAGAGCCAGGATTCAAATACAGTTTTATCTAACTCCAAAATGCCTGTACCACTTTCAAGGATTGTGCCAGAGTTTCATGTTAGGCTTATCATGCTCCTTATCTAAATTAAAGCGTTTATCTGCTGAGGCTCTGGATAAGAGGTAGTATCATCCACAGTAAAGGGACACACCTATTTTTCAGGCATTCACAGAAATAAGTGATCTCTCACCTGGAAAAGTGCGGGATGAGCAGATTAGTCTTCAAGGTCTCAGGTCTCCATTTCTCATTCTCTCCAGCTTTTCAGTTCTAAATATGTCTCTGCATGCACCCACAATATAAAGACAGGTTCCAATACTTAAGATGTCCAACTAAAGAAGTTATGTGAATTGCCCATCAGTACACTTGAGTGTCCCATTCAAGTGTAGATGGGACCAACCATTTAATGGGGATATTATGAGAATATCAGGCTACATAGATGGATAAAGCTAGTAAAACTAGATGATCTTTGGAATCCCTTTCAGACTCAGGATTCTATGGCTCCAAGAACTTTCATTCTTCCTTGAGTTGAATATCTCAAGTTCATTGACCTTCGAACACCATAAATCTTATTGCATCTGACATCAAGGTATTTGAGGCCTACCTTGGGATTCTAGGGCAGATGAGTGCTTAATAAATATTTTCTATGGATAAGAATGATGACAGTGGTGATAACTGGGCAATGATCCCTTTATAGAGGCAGGGGAGCAAAGCAACTCCTCCTCTTCCCCTCTTGCATGGCTGGTTGCTTATATGGTCTTTAATTTGGCAGAGTGATTTTATTGTTGTACTTCTGAACATTCATCTATTTGGTTAAATGATAACAAAGGAAATAAATAAGGAAGCACTTTTGGAGTGAGGACCTTGGATAATTTGTTCTTCCATAAAACAAGTACACTGGCAAACATTGTTAAAATCAAATTTTCAGAAGTCTTAAACAAAGGTTTGCAACAATCCAGGGAACATTTGTTCAAGAAAAAAAATGGCTGAATAATGTCAAGAACAGTGAGCTTTGTGTTTTAACTTGCCCTATTCTGATCTGCCTTCTCCCAGTCTCTGTGGTAGCCTTGACAACCAGCAGCCTAGCAGCCATGGTGGTTGTGAAAAACGGCAGCCTCACAGCTATGATACTTGTGAAAACCAGCAGCCTCCCAGCGACCGGATGGGGCAAAAATAATTTTGGAGTTCCCCCCCAAAAGCCCCATTCCTAGGTCATTATTTGATATTTGACAGTTCCCTAGAAGAGCCCCCATTCAGAAGACCTGCTTTTATTTAACCTACTCAGAGCCTGCTCTGTGGGAAAAGCACTATTTCCAGGACATTTGTTGAAAACAATCACTGCTTACCATTGTAGCTGCCTAAGGTAGTAATATCAGTTGGGGTAAATAGGAAGCTGGCCAAAAGTCTTGGAAACAAAAATCTAGAGGCTGAGAAGGCCATAGGGCTTTGAAAGGCTCTGACATATTTTTAGGAATCTAGAAGTCCACATGCACATGACCAGGAGAGACCTGAGAAAGTGCTAAATTGTCACCTCTTGCTGGCCTTGAGGCTCTGCACAGGAGGAAATGAAGGCTAAGGCAGAGTTAACATCTGCCTGCTGGAGCATTGAAGGAGAGCCTCAACCTGCACACAGAGAACACCCTTAGCAAAGGTGGAGACTTATTGGTTTAAGGTACTTAAGGAAATCTCTACCTAATCATTACCTCACCACTAACTGATGGAGTAGCAGCTTCAATGGCTACACATGACAAAGAACTTGACAAAATTAGTCCAGGAAAGTCACTAAACAAACAACAGCAACAGCAACAAATTCTGGGGAGGGAAGAGAATCTTATTTCCAGAGTTTATATGGTATTTAAAATGTCCAAATTTCCCAAAAGATTCTGAGACATGCAAAGAAATAGAAAAGTATGACTCAGACACAAGGGGGAAAAAGCACTTAATGTTTCTTAATGTTTCTGAGGAGGCCCAGATGTTGGACATAATAAAGACTTTTTTCCCCAGATTTTATTTATTTATTCATGAGAGACACAGAGAGAGACAGAGACATAGGTGGAGGGAGAAACAGGCTCCATTGGGAGCCTGATGTGGGACTCGATTCCAGGTTCCCTGGGATCACGATCTGTGACCCTCAATCACTTAGCCACCCAGGTGCCCCATAATAAAGATTATGAATCAACAATATAAATATGTTCAAAGAACCAAAGAAACCATGCCTAAAGAATGAAAAAATGGTGGAGAATAATGTCTTACCAAATAGAGAATGTCAATAAAGACAGGAATAAGAAAAAACCAAATAGAAATTCTGGAATTGAAAATAACACTAACTGCAATGAAAAACTCACAGGAGGGCTCAAAATTAGATTTGAGCTGGCAACAGAAAGAATCAGTGAATTTGAAGATAGATTATATGAAATTATCCTGAGGAATGGAAAAAATAAGGAATTAGGAAAAATAAGCAGAGCCCCTGAGATCTGTGGGAAACCATAAAGCAAACCAACATATGCATAATGGGAGTCCCAGAAGGTGAGGAGAGAAAGGATGGAAGTAAATTGTCATTTAAATTGTGATAGCACTAGCCAGAGAGATAATTTGCCTCTGAGTCTCTAGAAGCATTTGACTCCATTGCACAGATATAATTTATTAATGTTTTTCAAAGGCCTGGGTTTATTCCAATGAGAGAGTTAAATTTATCTGATATTTGCATATATTTCATTATAGTCAGAAAACTGCAAGCCTTTTTTCATGATAGATAATTGGGCTTAGTGACAAAACTCTTGGCCAACAAAGAAATTATTTTTTGGCTTAATCATAGACTTGGAAAGAATTTTATTGAGTGTGTCAATATTTTTATTATGTGTGTCAGGTACCATGTTAAGTGCTTCATAGGCATGATCACATTTAATCTTCAAAACAAAACCGTGATGTAAGTTCTTAACTCACTCCATTTTATATACAAGGAAGCTGAGGCTCTATTTAGTTCCTTGCTCACAACTGGACAGCTAGCAACAGAGCTTGAATTTAAACTTCTATCTGATGCCAAAGCCCATCTTCCTAACCAGCAGGCCACTTTTGCCTTCCCATGCAGAAAGGAACATCTTAGAGACAGAGACAGAAATCTTTTAGCCCCACTTGTCTGAGTAGTCTTTGGGTCTACCTAGGGGAGTATATATTTCCTCAGATTCAGTCCTCCAGACCAGTTCCCTGGGAGTTGCCTTCTCCTAAGATGCAGATCTAGAGTTCTGGTGTTTTTTTTTTTGTTGTTGTTGTTGTTTGTTTTTGTTTTTGTTTTTGCACTTCATTTATAATTTATGAGCTCTTCCAGTGTTTCACAGTGATACAGGGGTTTCAATGATTAATACCAATGGGACAAAAGGTGGACCTACACAAATGTCTTGATTGAATCAGACTATTATTGATGGAATTTTTTGGTCTATTGTAAGTAGTATTAGGCAACCTTCCATCTAGGCAATCTCATAGCTCACAGGGGGGGAATGTAAATGTCCTTAAAGCTGAACAATGTAAGCCCGTGGTTTGATGATTACACTATCTCACACTGGTTATTAGTTATGGCGCGAGGGAGGCAGTAGGCTGGAAAGATTCCAACCAGCTGAAAGCAAGCAACTCCAA